AAATATTTCCCTAAACATATCTTATAGCTTTATTCAAAGGTGAAACTAAAAAAAAATGGAGAAAATTGTCCTCAGATCATCTCAGATGTATGTCACTCAGAGGTATTTCTACAACTATAATGCAAATAATGTGTGATAGAGTTAATTCAAGAACTTGATTAACTATAGACATTTAAAAGGGTCTAAATATAATTTCTACATGCCATAGTGGAGAAAAGTGTTTAGCATTGTGCTAATTCACTTACACTTTTGACATTATGCATTTTCATGTATTAGAGTGAAATGAAATGCATGCATTATGAAATTTTCTGAAGTGTCTCTAGTTTAGAGTCAGTAAATACTTATCCTACTGGGCTCCTACATTCCAGATCCTTGAAGATCTATTATCCATCATTAGTAAAGCACAGAATTAAAAGTCAATTTTATATTATTTTTGTGGATTTTGGCTTAAATAAGTTTATCCACAAAAAAGCTGCTCATAAAATTTAATAATAAATATTAATTTCCAGAGGTAATGATGAGAAATATTTGTAATTTTATTTCTTTTTCCTGTTCTGAAGGGGTTAAATTATTTCTTGGTCTTGTGTTCTTATGAATCCTTGTGTTGTAAAAAACAAAGTTTATTTCAGCTGGCAAACTGGAAAACTTGATTTTAATAAAGAGTATTCACACTGTCTGATACAATGTGTTTGATAGACAGACCATTTAAATATTTAAGTGGACTGTTAAATAGTGCATGGTAAAAACCAAAAATAGATCTAATCTTATTTGTTTGTCATGTTACCATGGTAATTTTTCAATTTCCAATAAAAATAGCTAATAGGGATCACAATGGAATGTGGTAAGGTGCATGAAGAACTAGAACTTGTTTAAGAATTTATTGTATTTTTTTTCCCCTGTTAAGCATGCCAGAAGAAAAACAGATTTCATGTTTCAATCATTTTAATTTGTTCAGATGAGTAGACTTACATAAGATCTACTCCTTGGTACAATTATTCTCCATAGATATCAGTTTCTTTTTTGCTTCACAACAATGAGTTGCTAATTTTATGAAGTAATTCAATCACATGTCTCTTTCTCAGGTAAGCACAGTTAGTGGCTGAAGATTAAACTAAATTTATAGGTTATGTTAAATTTGTGGTCACTGAAGTATTTGTGAAAGTAGTTGTATCATCATATACATATCAATAAATGTAATTTAATTGCCACGTTGATAAGTTTCTGCTCACAAGAATAAAGCTACTATGCAGAGCTGTGAAAAGATCAATAAATTTGTTTAAAATCGAAAAGTTATTAAATCTAGGTAGTTCTGATCATCCTTAAATCTAACAACGTTTGATAGCTCAGAAAATTTTAATTAGCAATGTTTGCTATCAAGTCTACCAAATACTGGACTGAGGATTTTTCAGCTCTTAAAAGCCTTTGGAATAAACAAAAAGAATAAATAAGAAATCAGCAAGAATAAGCAAGAAATTTTTGAAAAAGGTACATTTTGCAGAGTTTCCGCATTGAGTTTCCTTGCTGTTCTTAGTGACATGTTGGTACATAAATTCCCATTCTCTGCTTATATGCGTACTGCTATGGGGACCACTCATCCAAAGGCAGTGGGCATTCTTCTGAAATGTGACTCCCTGTAGGCAGCAGATAGTGTGAAAATATCAGCATGCACATCCTTGTTTCCTTCACCCAAAAATAAGAAAATGCTCCAAATTTACCAGAAATAATATTGTCATGCAAGGTTACTGCCCATCATTAAAGCCATGAATTCCATTCTGTAAATCAAACCACCAATTAGACAAACTCTAGGATGTTTCTATTTCACACCCATGTGGTATGACCTCAACAAGCCTTCCTGAGCTGATTAATACTTTGGCATTGAGAGTGAATTTATTTTCCTGGACTTAACTACTCCAGCTCTCTGCCGCTGGCGATAGATATGGATGACCATCATTCAACTAATTAACCGAAAGTTTCTAAGTCATTAATGAATCTTGCATTCTAAGAGGAAAGGAAAATTAATCTTCTAGGATTAACTGATTGGATGCTTTTGCTAAGGAATCAAGCTAGCAGTTGGGGATATGTTGCAGGTTACATCATGATTTACTGCAAAATTTCATTTCAATAATTGAATAATGCTGTAGACTTATTAGTGAAGTATGGAAGATGTAAAAGATGATAAAAAACATTAAAAGTCCTTTGAATTGTAGTAAAGTATGAACAGAACTATAGCTAAACAGACAGGACAGACCACCTATAGTTTTATTGTGCAGTCTTTCCTAAGATCCCAGCTAGTAGGAGCACTCAAGTAAATGCTTAACCCTCTATGTATGACTAAATAGCACAGATTTCTGGGCTCCTGAGAACCTTAATTAACTGTTTTTTCACAAGGAAGGGGCTTAAGCTATTGTTTAAGAGTTGAACTCATCCTTAAGCCCCCTGTTGAATGCAAGCCTAGGCCAGGGTTTGACAGAAAAGATAAAAACCATTCTGATACGCTTTTTTGTCTTTGAAACTCTTGCCTTGTAGCTCTAAGTAACAAATTATGCAGTGTCCTGTTTCTGCATTCATTTGCTGTGTACTAATACAGGCAGTCAGTGAGCGGTGTTTATACAGGGATGTTAACAATTACAATTAGATGACAGCCAGAAAATTGTTGTGCAGCACGTACATATATACCTTACATGTGCCTGTATTGATTTAAAACTCCTTTGTCTATAGCCTTCTGGGTAAAGCAGTATGGAAATAATAGAATTAATATTAACTAAAATAAACATAATAACTTGATTGACTTCAAGATGCTAATTAGTCCTAGAATTCATTTTTTTATGTTAATAAATTAACCAATTCTCTTTAGTTGAACGATCTTCCTTTTTGAATGAAAATTCTATATTCAAGGAAAAATATTTAAGCTTAGCAGGCCATTCTTAGATTCTTACATATTAGTTATATTCCAGTGTAAAAGGAACATATTTCAAAGTCCATCAGGGCTACTGAGATCTTATCAGCTATCTGTAAATCTAAAAAAGTTCTTTCTAGCAGTAATGATTAGATAGGTACAAAAATTAAAATTAAACTCATGGCTGGTAAAACAAGAAATAGGAAGAAAAATTATCTGCATTGTGTGAGCTAAATTAAAAAAAATAATTCCTCCCTAAAAGTAACCATATTTACCTGGCTTTTAGGGTCTGTTCTTGTATTTTTTTTTTAAATTAAATTTTAAAAAATCTAGTACTGTTTCAGGTCAATAAGTAGATCTTAAAGAACTTTATAAAATTGTGGTTTTCTTTTTGTCTTTCTTTAAATGAAACCAAATTCCTTTAAAAATAAATGCATAATGACAATTTCTGTTGTATTATACATTTTACATGGACTTAACAAGCCAAGTAGCTTCTGGCTGCCAACACCTCTAGATTTTTATATTGCAATATAATACATGCTTTTTCATATCCAACTCATTAAATACTTGCCTTGTAGTATAGTTTGTGATTATATTTTCATTAAGTGGCTGCTAAGATACTGCATAGAAATAATTTCTATTTGTTTTGTGGGAATCTGCTTTCACAAAAGAAAAAAATCAGTGCAGTGCAGTGTTGCAGTTGAAATTTAAATAGTACTACAGGTTTATTGTGCAACTTTATAAACAGGATCATTTTTCAAGGTATATGCCAATTCAAGTAAAACCTGTGGACATGTAATGTGAAAAAATGGCTCTTCAAGAATAAAGAAAATCTCCTAATAGCAAAGGATGTGTACATTTCTTCAGCTTTGGGGAATATTCTCAACAGTGGCCACATTGCTGGTGAGTTATTGAGCCTTTTATATATATGGGAAGAAAAGAAAGAAAGATTATGGGTACAGCAATTATCCTAATGATACCACAAGCTGAATTTCAGCTTCCAAACTTCTCTTCAAAGGTAAAAGTTAGCTTCCAAACCTTTTTAAGAGGCTGCTGCCCTTTTCAAACCACATTTTAGGTGCATCATTCTTGCTGATTTATACATGCTAAATTCTATGTGCCCTATTCTTCCTGCTCAAAGCTGAAGAAGACTGTGTAATTTCATTCTGCACCCTGGCAACCTCATTCAGTTCAGACTGGCTGAAAAGTGTTAAGGCTAATTGCATGAATATTGGCCATGGAGTGAGCTGGAGATGGATAGGACCTATAGCTTGTGTCTGACACACACATACAAGATACAGGCAGACCAGTTCTTTCTCTACCAAATAGTTGAGACTCTTCCCTCTTCACTCAAAGCTATTGAGATAACGCAGCAGTAGAAAGACATAGCAAGGGGAATAATGGTAAAATTCCAGGGCAGCATTTCAGATGGTGTGAAGTATCATAAGCAGAAACACCTTTCTTATTGGTTTTGTATTTGTCTTTTTAAAGAGTAAATTAAAACTGTTTGATGATTCTGAATTATACATCAGGCATCCGGGACAGAAGTAACTGTCACTTGAGAGAAAGATGAATAAAGCTATGTATGCTTACCTATACATAAGCACCACAATAGAATCTACGGTTAAGAGAAAGATGAAATTGCTTATATCATAACAAGAAATTGGAGAAAAAAGTACTAATAAAATAGTTGAGTCTTCAGTGTACAATACTATGGTTATATATGCATCACCAGTTTGCAAAGAGTGAGATTGGTGAGAAATACATACTTTGCTTAAACCTTGTTCCTTCTATTATTTGCACTTCAGAATCTGTTACCACATTTGTCAGTGTTGTAATAGCTTCAGGTAAAAGCCCAGCTGAAGATCAAACTGAAAGGAAATAACCATAGTCCTTTCTGGTCACAGTTAAAATACTGTAATCTGACAGTATTGAAAATCTTGCTTCTGTGGAATTATTGAAAAAAAAATCAGGTGAACCTGTCAAGACACTACACATCCAGTTAATCAATATAAGTAATTATAGATTAAAACAATAAGTATTTTTAAGGCACAGGTGTGTGACACTTTTCCTGATTAAGTCTCAGATTTGTTATGACTTTTTGTACAATTGTTCTGATATTAAAAAAAAAAACCAAAAAAACCCCAAAAAACAACAGGAACAACAAAAACTGTACTCCCAGCATTTCCAAATGGACAACATCCAGTCATGCTATCATGGAAAAATTAATAACAAAGAGAATAGCAGAACATTGGACCTATCGCTGCTCTTTTTACTTAGTAAGTTTATGACTTCCTGATTCATTACATATTTATTAAATTTAGCCTTCAATCTATAGTTGGGTCTGCTGGTCTAGAAGTCAGACTGGTTAGAGGCATGGAGCTAGATGCTGTTGCCAATTCTGCCAATAGTCTGTTATATGGTTTTGGACAAATCTTTAAATTTCTTTGCATTTTCTCTCTGAACTTCTGATTTTCTCCAGCATCTTTATAATCAATTCTTGCCTGGTTTTGACCATATATGAACATGTAATGCCTACCAAAAGAAATGGATGGGGTTTTTTTGGGTTTTATTTGTTGGCTTTTAGGTGTTTTTTTTAAATTATTATTTGGTTTGTTTGGCCTATTTTTCATTTAGGCTTTTGTGTTCTGTTTGTTTTCTTGGGGTTTGTTTTTGTGTCAGGTTTTTTTGGGTTTTTTTGCTTGGTTGTTTGGTATTGTATTTGTTTTTTATCTTAATTGTAATATAAAGACTTTTTGGTTTGAAATTAGACTGCCTACAAACATTTTGAGTTCTAAAAAGAGGCTGAGCACTTGGAAGCTACTAGAGTCATTACTCACAGTGTTCTAACAAATCTTTTGATTTCTATATGAAACTGAAGAAGTGACAGCAGTGACTGCAATAAGGCATTAACAGCGCTGCCTAAAGCTAATGTTGCTGTTTGTACGGATGAAGAGGAATCTGCAAGCACTTGATGGACTGAATCATTGCTCTGTGTGACTCTGCAGAGGATCATGTTAAGTATTTTTATGTGAAGATGTTCAGCTGCAGAGCCAGTAGCTTCTCAGTGCTGAACATTTTTCTTGCAGACAGTAACGAAAATCGTAATGGAAGTTAAGCCAAAGGGACCTAGGAATCTAGGAAGACAACTACAAAATGGAAATCTCTGTACAGTGATATTTGTATATTCTATGAAAATGTCCCAGTGTGACATTACCCAGGAGATTTGAACAAAATAGGAACTGTTTTACACTCTGAAACCATCTTCCAGTCTCCTTTCATCTACAAGCAAGGGAAGCTTGTAAATGCCAGTATCTAACTACTCAAAAACTAGTGTTGAAAATTTTTGTGTACAAGAAACCACCAATGCCGGTGTTAATTAGAGTTTCTAGTCATTTCTAGAAGGATTCTCGGTTCTGGTTTTTTTTGGCTTGCTTGCAATTTGCAAACTTATGGAAAGCAAGTCTAAAAGAGGAAGAAAAAGAGGGCTGTTTTGCCTGGTTTTGATTATTAAATTTTTACTAAGCCACTTCCTTCTAGAAGTGATCTAGCTGTTATTTAAACATCTCTGGGTGTTCTAATAAACTTGTTCTCAAATATCAATTTAAGCCACCTACACTCTAAGTAAAAGCAATTAATTATATGCAAGAAAGAGATGAAAAGTTTTTAATAAACACACTGTTGCCTCATCAGAGAAAGAAGGGGTTGGTACATATCTACTCTGCAGTGCGCAGCACTGAGGAGTTGGGAAAATGACAGAATGATTGTAAGCTAACATACATCCTTAGATACAAAATAAAGTATTGGTGGCATAATTTCTCTGCTTCAGTGGGCTCTGGGTCAGGGCATAAGATTTCACAACATGACCAAAGAATTTTAGAGAAAAGGCTGAGAGAGCTGACCTAAAGCAGAGGAGAGCAAGTTAAAGCTCACCCCCATCCATGCAAGCCCTGTACAATTTTTTTCATGTATAAATAATAACCATACTGCATAAAAACTGCAAGATAGATCATCTTTAATGGCTTAAAACGGCAGCCAAAAATAGAATGTTGGGATTTTTTTTTTTTTTTTAATCCTTTTAGCACATTCTAGGACAAAGCCCTTGTCAAGAGAAATAGACATTTTTGGACAAGCCAGCACATTTGTTCCCATAACCTCAAATGGAAATTCCCAACCATCCGTGAAATCAAAGGGAAGACAGGTTCCTCCTACATTAAGACATTTGTAATTATACTGTTAGGGATCAGCATTCTCTCTCACTCTTTTATACTCCTACTCCCCCTATTCTTTCTTGAGATCTCTAACCAGGTCTCATTAGAAGAGAAAATCAGAGAGGGGAAAATAGACACAAAATATGCAACACGTACTTAAATTGACTTACAATATGAGAAGTCTTTTTAGCTGCACAGACAAGAGAGTTAATCTGCACATACTGAACAAATAATTTTAAAAAATCCCAAAATGTGAATGCTAAAAAACAATTTGTATATGCACCAATTAATGCAGTCAGAAGCCTTATAACCTGAAACAATACATAAGTCTTATATCCTCTAGACAGTTACAGCCTGCATATATTCTATTACAATTTAAGCAGATTTCTTTTTTAGTCCAACTTCAGGAGATATATCTATGAAGGACTCTTCCCTGCCATCGAAAACTGAATTTACTCAATGCTGACAAGACTGTTGCTGTTGATTACGCTTGATACACAACAAGCCTTTAACCTTACCTGTCAGACTAATTGCACTGTGAAAAGGCAGACTGAAGGGCCTTCTGTGCTGTGTTTTATATCACCAGGATGGTTTGGGGGAAGCTGTACTTATCTCCAGTCAGTGACACACAGAAGTCGTAGCTTCCCTGTACTCACTGAAAAGAAAAGTGTATTGTGCTACTGCCTACAAGAAGAATAAAATATCATCTGACCAAAGCTGGGTAAAATTCAGAAGTGAAAAGGACCAACAAATCTTATCAAGAAAATAATTTATCTGTGCATGAGCTGGCTGAGAAGGAAGTGAGTACATGGGAAAGAAAAAGCATTGGGAGGACTCAGAATGGAGTGAGAACATATTTAGACTGAAGGTAGAAAAGTAGCTATTACCTTGCATTTGCTCTTCCGCCTGTGTGTGCATGAGTTATGCATGCTACCTTGTGAATGCCAGGATCCATGTGATTGAATATGTCTAAGAAATGCCATAACCAGTTTCAATTTGTGATCCAGTGTATGGCAAAAGCAAGGTAACTGTTCCATTAGTGGGATCTGAATGTCCTTTCAAATCCCTAAGTATGTGATAAGATTTGAAGGGCATATGTTGTACATTTCACATGGAAAGTTATGCAGAATTCTCCTAAGTTTCTGTACAACTAGACTCAAGAATTTCCAGAAAGTAACCTAAATTAATATCTTTGAAAAGAAGAAATGCAGACTCAAGGTGTTTGTCATTCTGTGAATTATGGGTAAACAACTTCAGACAGTTCCACATACAGGAAAACTTTCCTACCTTTTTACTGCCACAACAGACTCAACTGAGCATGAAATAAGGGCTACCAGGTATTTCAGAGAGTACGTGCTCCTTTCTTTCACTTTTCCCCTCACCTTCCCTCCTGCAGTCCTCTCGGGTTTTATTTTTTTCTTTTATCATAAGCACTGCTCTGTCAATCTGTTCCAACTAATCTCTGGATCAGTACAGCTGTATCTACCAAGGTGTTTACCTCTGAAGCATTTGCTGATAATTTCCATTTGTATGGACTGCCCCAGGAAAGACAGATATCCTGCACTTCCTGCCATTCAGAAATCAGTATCCTGGAAAGTCTGAAAATACACAAGAAAACCTTCCATCTGCTAAAGTTTTTGCCTTTTTGTCATTTGATATGTAAGATGAATAAACAGGCTTAACATGGAATCAAGTTAAAATACTAACATCAAACACAGAAGAGGTGCTTAGGTGTCCAAATGGGCAAAAAACACACCAGAAGGTTTGTACAGAGTCAATAGAAAAGTGCATGGTCTAGCAAAGATAGGCAATCAGAACAGGACAAACAGTGTCAGCTCAGCTGTTTGGAAAATCTTTTCCTCTCCACAGATAAAATGAGGGCACGACAATGTTTCTTCATATTTTTATTACAGGAATACTCAAAGATTCTGAGGGAGATAAGAACCATACTGTCCTTCCTTTTACACCTGTGTAGCCCAATTAGACAAGAAATAGGCAATTATTATGGCTTTACAGATGGAGGACAGAAGTTCAGTGACAAAATCATTGATTTTTCTCAGTCTGCAGCAGAGGTAAGGCAAAGAACAGTGATGTCTTGAATCAAATAATAATTGTATAATGCGTTGCCATCTTCCCCTGCTCTTACAGGAAAAGGAGTAGGCGATTCAATTTGATGTTTCATCCTTCTGCTTCTTCATACAACAAAATTAATTCCCATGATGAATTTCTGTGTTGATACTCCTACTTCAGGTCTGATACTATTTCAGTTTAATCATTCCTCCTCTATGTGATTTTATTAGCTGAAGGTGTTTGTGAAATATCTTATAAATGCATTCAGTATTCAAAGATCACTCCTTTGTCTTTCCTTTGCCTTTGTATTATCAACTCACTTCAGGATACAATTTGAATATGGATGCTGTGATTAATTTTCATAGCATGATGAAGGAGTAAGTTTTCTAAAGTGTTAAGTGACTTCTTATTGGGACACAGATACTTTAAATCTTTCACTGTGTTATGAAAACATAGTCTCCTTTTATGGAAAGGTTTGTTTAATATACATGAAAGCTTATATAATCCTGAAGATTTGGATCCTTACAGCCAAACATGTTATTAAATAGGCTTTGTGTGGTGGTAAGTAAAAGTATTTATGAGAGACAGAGTTTTCCAGCTTTACGCAGAACAGATATTCTGATGCTTGCCAGTATCTTTATGAACTGGTAGAAAATCAAAGAATAAAGTTCAATGAGATTAAAGTACATGGATTTACTTCCACTTTCTCAAGGGCAGAAAATCCACAGTTCTGGAGCTATTCATCCCCGGGATCAACTTTCTTTGAACACCCTCCACAGATAGAAGGATTAGATCATCTGTCATGAAGATGGTCCACTTATATCCAGGTTTCTTTGTAGAGTGTGGAATTATCTTATTTAAGACAAATCTAGAATAATTCCAGTGAAGTCAATATGATTTCTCTGATTTTTTTTCCAATAGGAATGAGAGAAGAATATATCTCAGTTAAGTAAATTTGGACATCCCTGCCTTCTAAGAAGAGCTGAAATGCAGAATTTAAAGGTGAGAGACTTAATGTATCCATGTCTAATGGTATAATGCAAATGCATTATGAGTGCATGTTCTCATAGCTATTTGTATTCATCTTATATATTATTTTAAATTTCTATCACTCATATGATTTAACCAACTGAACAAGCAGCTGACCTGAAATCTGTGTGACAACAGAATAATTTGAAGCAGAGCACTCTTTCTCTCTGTGGTCAGCCATCCTCTCTTTTCACAATGGAATATTTTGTTACATCTTAGAGACAGACCTGACTCACCAGTTAACACTGCACAGCAAGGATAGTGAAGAAATCGTGGTAAGATTGAGTTGTACATGTTTTATGTGAGAGAGCACTTACATAAGTAATTCCATTTATTTAATTGTGCTACTGTGCGTAATCTGTTAGCTTCTTAAAATGGGTAGGTTTGGTATTGTCAATAATCAGCTCAGCTGTATTGCTTTGCATCTGGACAGGAAAGCATAAACCTTTGTGTCCAGATCCAAATTTTATGAAGTTTGTATAGCATTTATGCCATAAAGTGTGTGTATTTCAGACTAGTGGCACCTTCCTCTGCAAAATGCAAGTGTAGATGACTAGGAGAGGAGCTGCTTTTTTGGACTTTTTCATCTGAAGAGTAATAATTGTTTTCTCTAACCCAGAAATGGAGACCATAAGGAATTATTCACAGTTTTTCTAGGAATATTGCCAAAGTACAGGATCAAGCATTAAAAAAAAAAAAGTATTCTCTCTCTTTAAGTTTTCTTTTTCCTATGGTTGACTTTCTAAGACTCTAAAAGCAAATGTCTGATATTCCCATGGCGAAAGAATATCCTCCTCCTGCAAACTCTTCATCATTCCAGTAACCCATAGTCATCAATAGCCACCTTGATTTTGATGGGACGAGCAACATCAGCAAGGTAAAGAACTTCTTCACCTGCATGCAACCAAATTCTTGCTGAGTTGTACTTTAACCCGTAAACAGTCCTACTAAAGTCAAGAGGAACAATTATTGTGTAAAGAACTCCCAATAAGCATAGGTATCAGAATTAGGCTTACCCAAATAAGTCCCAGCCCTTTAATGAATTTTATGTAATTGCTATTCTACAGCCGTATACAGCCCCATTAGCTTCAACCAGGATCCATCAGGGACTCATTGCAAAACTAGGTCTTAAAGGCAGGCTGCCAAGAATGAATGGTTTAACTTTGGGGATGATGTTAAAATGATTTAGATTGACAGTTAAATTAAGTGAAACTACCTGTGTAGACACACACCAGTTTAGTATGCCCCTGTAATTTACAGTTTAAAACCCCAGGGGCAGCCACACACCACCTCATAGGGGCTTAATACTGCAACATAACAGACTTTGTTTGCTAACAGCACTCAAGAGGCACATTCTATCTGACAATTTCTGCCTGTTTTGTGAATCAAGAAGTCTGCAGCATGACCTATGCCTAATGATGTGTTTCTTTTCTTTACCAGGATGCTTTACCTATCTGTCTTGCCCTGTCTGCACCTGCGCTCTCTGATCACCTTGTACATCTGTGCAGGGGATGGACTGTTCATTTCTGACCATGTTTATTCTTTTCATGATACCATTTGGTCTGTAAGAGAAAAGTGAGCCTGTGAGTGATGGCTTTTGAAATCTCACCAAAGATCATTTAACAGAAAATATACTTTTAAAATCTTATATAAATGGAATAAAATATCTTTTCCTGGCCTAGTAATCTTGTGCTGCATTCAGTTAACAGTCTTCAATCTCTTGATACAGTATAATATGAAAATTAAGTGGAGAGACCAGTGTTGACTCCAAGCCCCATGCCAGTGATTTTACTGAGCTGTAAATAAGACCCAATAGCAGATAATTTGTTGCAGATATAACACAATGAACTGTTTTTCAAATATTCCTCTTCTCTGTTTTTTTCTTCTGGATTTGGCAATAAACTGCTGGTCCTTGATCTTGTGGTCCTTTATGTGTCACAAGCCTGTTCCAGCTTTATCCATTATCAATAAAGCCACACTATGATCTAGTATGTAGCTCTGTAATATCTGTAACTTGTAGATAGCCGAACCTGGGTTCTTTTGTATTTTGTTTTGTTTTGTTTTGTTTTTTCCAGTATAAAAAAAGGTTGGGCATTTTTGTGTTGTGTTCTCTAATGAATAGGACAAAAGGTATGGGCTAGACAAGGGGTTTTGTTTGCTTTCTTTTCTTTCACCTCTCCTTACCCCTCAAAAAAACCCTTACAGACATTTTATGACATATTTCATGTTGATTAAAAAAATATTTAGAAATATTTGAAGGTGAAGATAGAACATAAAAATTGAGTGTTTTGTACTGAACTCTGATTGTTCCTTCAGTGGTGTGTATCTAAAGCATTTAGACTCACAGTAAGAGTTCAGACTAACTAGAAGTGTCAGCAGACATGTTTTTATAAAACAAAATAAAAAAAAAATAAACCTCAAAACACAGATAAATTGATGGATATGCTTTTCTTTGAATATAGATACACAAGACCAGGTTGGATGAGGCTCTGAGCGACCTGATCTAAAGGAAGGTGTCGCTATTTATGGCAGTGGGGCTGGAACTAGATGGTCTTTAAGGTCCATTTCAACCCAAACCATTTTATGGCTCTATTATATGATTTTCCCCATCATTTTTTATCTCTTCTCAAATTCTTTTGTTTTCTTTGATCTTCCATGTGTACATTACTGCCCCTTATTTCTGGGGAGGTAATTCTCGTCCAGAAATTCTCAGGTAAACTGTCCTATGCAGAATGTTATAAAATGTCCACTACCTCCAAACTGTACACATCCTTCTATGCAAAACTGAACCCTAAAATAAAGGCAGGAACCTGTGGCTAAAGATAACTTGAGTTTTTCCCAGAACTAGAGTAAGTAAGTAAAAATTCATTTCAGGATTACAATTCACTTTAATACATTGCTAATGGAAGAACATGACTAAGCTAAATAAAAACTGTGTTAATTAAATTGTGTTAGTATTCAGTATTCAATTTTCATCCATTTATTTCTCTTAGGAATGGAGATCTGTGATCTTCACATTTGCTGTAAACACTTTTCAAGCTTTTGTTCTCTCTAGCTGCTCTTAAAAGTCGCAACATAAGGGACTATTTGCAGATTCTCTGAGCTATATTAGTAGGCTTTGAATATACAATCTGATATAAAATTAAACATATATTTAAGAACTTCTCTGAAAGAGAGCCAAAATTCCTGAAGCTGGCAACAGTTTTTAAGTCAATAGTAATTAAACATTGCAGAATCCATAAAAGTTTATAATAGAAAAATAAGAAACCATATATTAAATGGAGAAGAAACCACACAAAGAAGAAGAAAATATATGTACATACACATATAAAAGCTTCTATACTCCAAATAGGAAAGGAATCTTTTAGGGGTATGAAAAGCTGTGCAATCAAGAAAGGAAAGAAAAGCTGGTTTTAATCCAAATGCTTTATGTATTTTTGGTATATATTGAATCAGCTTAGAAAAGCCCAGCAAATAACTCATGGTATAAAAATTTATAGTAAGGGATCAAACATCTTATGTTCTAAGTCTGTGTAATTTCAAATTTTTATTGACAGGAAAAGTATACAGTGTTTATGTGCTGTGTTTTTTCAGGAAAAAAAAAAAGGAAAGAGAAAAGAGAAGCATCACTCTAAACCCACTCACATCTCATCTCATCAGTTGTAACCTGCATGAATGATAAAAGGTATTCAAAGCTCTCTAGTTCTATGTGACAGTTCTAATAATGCAGTGCAGGTGTTTAAAATGTCTGCAATACCCAGAGGTTGTAGTGTAGTGACCTCCATGGTCTCCCATTCAATGGAATTGGTTGGTAAATCTAAACATAATTACAGGGCTTTCTATTTCTAAGAGGCATGATTGCAATATAGCAAAAAAAAAAAAAAACAAAACAAAAAAACAAAAACCGCAAAGCACTTAAAAACCTAAATATATTAAATTAAACTTATTGTTTTATCATTATAATAGATACTCTTTGGGTGTCTATTATTACTGCCTTCTACGAAGAGAACAGGGAAGGAGCTTTGAGCATGTTTGAGAGATGGAAGAACATCAAGTAATGTAACCTTTGTGCTTTCATTCCCACAAGCTGTGTAAACCACTGAGTCAAAACAAATATTTCTAAAAATCAAAACCTTGTTTTTTTTTTTTTGCTAAGCTTCTGCAACACCACATTGGGCATGTTCTTACTGTCCAGAGTCGTTGGCAGACAGCTGGAAGAGCAGCATTCCCCTTATCACATTTTACCAGCAAACTTGCTGTAATAATAGTATATCCTCGCTTTCAAAATTAATTTAGCAAGCATGCAGAATTAATGTACGGACTTTTTCAAGACAAAAAGTCTGATCCAAACCAAAGGAAAAAATCTCCTTTATTTTTGATGCTAAAATTTCCTGCAAAATAAATAAACAGAACACTCATTGGCCTGTGTAAGTGGATGTGAAGTAAGCATGCAAGTATTTTAAGTTACATTAGTCACACAACCAGTGTCAGTGAAATGACAGCAAAAGAGCTGTCTGTTGCAAACTGGAATGGTTTGTAATGACCATCAGGCCGCTGTAGTTAGGTATTCTGTCTGTAAAGGAGTAAATGCTGCATCTATTGCTATCACATTGTTGTTATTAGTAGATTATTAACAGATAATACAGAGAAGAACTGAAGAGTTCTTCTTTTGGTTCAATAATCATCACACAGAAAAGCATGTGACAGCGCTTGTTACAGATGGCATTTCAGCCACCCATCCAGCCTGAACAGAGCAGAGATGAGGGGCCCCTCAGAGGAAGCAATACAGTTACGTAAAACAGAGGAAGCTGGTAGACAAGCAGGTCAGGGCTGGTGTTCTCTAAACTGATTCTTCTTATCCTCCCTTTTCTTCAGAGAAGTTCAGCAGATATTGACCAGTTCTGACAAAGCCTGCCCTCTCCCATGTGGAACGCAAGGGGTTAATTTAATCTAGTGATGTTTCTTTTAAGCCCCAGTGACAAAGTTCCCATTGCGACACTTCTGAAATGCTGCCCTTTCATTTTTCAAGTGCTCATAATACTGTGCAAGGACTCAAATCACTGTGGGATTTTCATTTCAGTCCCAACCAAGGATAGTGTTCAGACCTTTTTCTTCCTCCCTAATTTAATTGTATTTTGAATAACATGACCGGAGGGGCTTAGGAGAAACCTGTCCCACCTCTATCTGCCTTACTGCGCAAAGCAATCATGGCTGACCATGAACCCTTCATCTTCCAGACCATGGTGGGTTTCACTGAGCTGCCTTCCCCAGCTCACCATCTTCTCTCAGTGACAACCAAGCCAGCCCCAGAGCTCTCAGAGCTGCCTTCACAAACAATCTGGCAGGGCTGGGAGAGGCATTTTGCCTCTTTCTGCTGCTCAGAGGTGTCTAAAGTGCCCATCATCTTGCATACAGAAACCGTGGCTTATCCTTTCTCACTACAAAGCCATTTGATATTGGGACACTTCTCCAGGCACCAAATTCTGCTAATTTCACCAAGAACCCTGGCTCTGTTTGAGCTTCCTTACCACAGGAGAAAATTCAAGCTTCATTCTGTAGAAATTTTCGAAAAAACACTAATGCTTCATGCTTCTCAACCATCTCTTTTAGGATCAGGGCTTCTCTTAACAGGTTCTCCTATTTCCAGAGCTGGCCATAATAAGTTTTGCATGGATAGCTGCCCCGCTAGGGTTCAGGAGCAAGTACAAAAGTTCATTTAAAAAAATGCTTAATCATGGAGAAACAGGTTTTGAGACACTTGTTCTATAGATAAAATACTGTGAACATAATATGTGGGTCACTCTAAAAGCAAATAATTTTACTTTATGGAGTTATAAAGAGTCATGTTTTCATAAATCTGGAGCTATAAAATATGAAACAATGTTGCTTTTTACACCATGGATCTATTTTGTAAAGCCGCAATTGGATGAAAAAATGTGTTGTCTAGGTTTTGTTGATTTTTGTTTTTCCAAATGCCTCAATAATATTCCATTTAATTTATATACCCACAGCTGTCAGCTACCTCCAAACCCTCTTAGTGCAGTGATATGGAAACATTGTTACTGAAAACTTCTTAGGAATACCCTAGAGAATTCACATTCATATCTATTTAAGTCAGCAGATGAATAGAATCTACCTAACCTAATTGGGGGTAGAGATAAAAAAAATCAATAAAGCAAGCTTTCTTCTTATCAGCTCTTATCCCATTTCTTCTTGGTTACTGCTTGCACTGTGACTTATTTGGAGGAAACCTTTGTTCAGAGTTTAATTTGTTCTGCTCATTCCATGGTCACATCCCTTGGATATAAAGTTCTCTCTCTTTCTCTCTCTTTCTCTCTTTCTCTCTCTCTCTCTCTCTCTCTCTCTCTCTTTCTCTCTTTCTCTCTCTCTCTCTCTCTCTCTAATAACTAAGGAGTAGTATATGGAAATAAAGCATTATGGAAGACATCCACCTGGCAAACACAGTTTGATTAAATGTTTTTTCATAATGGGAAAAATGTTAACTCTTATATTTAGGTAATTAAAGCACATCAGAGGAAATTCAACATAAATTGGGTGGTTTGGGGTTTTTTCAATATCGATTCAAAATATGTTTTCCTTTATCTTATTCTGCCTAGTGCACCATATCTGCCTAGTGACACTCAGAATCAATGCAGGTTCATAGAAGCAAATAGGATTCATCATCCCAAGAGGCCACATTTTTCACAAGAGAGAAAGAAGTGTTTTAGCTTTGGTTTGGATAACAATTGCTCCCTGTGTTATAAAGTTTCTGGAATAATTCCACCAGATACAAGTTACTTCACCCTGCACCAGAAGGCAGGGATTTAGTTCCCTGAAGTTTCTATTGGGTCTGAAGGAGACTATCAGCTTCTGTGCTACCACCTGGTTTCTCCAGCTTTCTCCCAGCATTATTATT